CCGTATCAGTTTTTTTTACATTGTATGTATACATGTTGCCTGTATATTATGACTGTGGGGAGGGGAATGCCTTGGCTACTAATAATGGTGGTTGTAGCAATTGCACACACCGAGATGGACGCGGTTTATCCATCTTGTTAAGCATCTTCCATTTTGTATCATTTCTACTCCCAAATCAGCTTTCCTCATCCCCCCCTCCCTCTCTGTTGAGTGGCATGTGGTCTGTTTGATGCAGATCACAGGCAGCAAACTCATTGAGCGGGCATCATGGTTATAAATCCCACAACTAGCTGGTGCCCCTCTGTCTGTGAGACTCTTGCTGGAGAAGGGATCGTAAAGCCATAAACCGAGCCCTCACTGAGCTTCAAAAGACATTCCAGGGAGTCGTAAAACAGACTTACATTTTAAAACCCAGTTTTCCATATCATTTTATATCTCCAAATAAGAAATAATTACACAAACATGGAGCACATATTCGGATGGCTCACTCAAATCGCCTGATACATTACACCCCCTATCTGACATATACAGGAAAGCAGAAAATTATATCTCCTTAACCATTCAAGAAGGTATGTAATATTTCATTTCTAACCGTTCAGCAGATGATTCTGGGTATTAATCTACTCATGGATAGAATGTTATATGTACCTAGTAAAGTTATTGGCCATAGTATAATTTGGGAAGGCTTTGGTCATAGCCTGAGCTCCCCGCCTACACAACCCCCTCCCCAAATGAGGCGATTGGTTCTCTGCTTCAGGGAGACACCCTGTGGAGTTCCTAGAAAAAGCTAAGCTAAGCTGAAGAATCTCCCTTTTAACATCGGAACTAACTTTGGGAGATAAGACCCTTTTGGCTCTGAAACCTGATTTAACCCAGTGTTTCTCAACTCCAGTCCTCATGGACCCCCAACAGGTCATGTTTTCAGGATTTCCATTATTTTGCACAGGTGATTTGATCAGTTTCAAGTAATTACCCAGCTTTTGAGGGAAATCCTGAAAACATGACCTGTTGGGGGTCCATGAGGACTGGATTGAGAAACACTGCTTAACCCAAGGCTGATGGCAAGTACTTTATCCCTCTAAACTTCTTTCTGTTATCTCTTTGCTGTGCTATTGTTCTCTGTATATTATATATATATATTTGGCTACATCTTTTTCTGTAAATATTTTTATTGCACCCATGTGAACTTTTAGTAATAAATCTTACTTTCTGAAAGTGTTGAACTGTTTCTAAAGCTCTTTAATGCAAACTAAGCACCCCTGCCTCTGAAGAGCGCTACTGTGTGTGTGTTTAAAACTTCGGTATATCTCTGCCTGCGGTGACAGTGGTATACAGACAATTATTCAAACATCATAGTGTTATTGCTGATATTGCCGAGTTACCTCTTTCTCTGTACAAAAAGGAGGTGGTGGCAGTGTGAAGGGTTAATTGCATAATTAACCTGACCCAGTAACAATCGCTTCCAGGCTTCCGGCACACAAGTTGTGATCCATTAGCTGGAAAATCTTTGTGCGGGTGCAGCTGGGCGTGGCATTGTTACGCACATGACAGCGCGGTTTTAGATTGGCTAGTCCTTCGGTCACGAGTTTGGTGAGAAGGGCTGGGGTCTGACGCGGCGATCGTCACAGTGGTGTCTAGTGAGTTTCCTGGTGGGATAGCCCAGGTGGTTTGGCTAAGGATCCGAACACACACACGATCTAATTCCTAATGGCCTGCATTATCACAGGCTAAAATTCAAGGCCATTCAGAAACTTGGAATATCAACATTAACAGGACTTCCAGGAAATCAAGCTGCACAAGATGAATGCAGCGATTATAGCTAGAGGTACTTGGCGGGCTGTTTGCATGCTCTGAAAGAATTTAAATTAGATTTTTTTTTCATGTTTGAATGGAGCCTATCTATTTCTCTATATTGACCAATCTTTTCTCAGACAGCTGATGGGCAATAAGAATGAAGTTTGTCTTAATCAGTATTATTTTTTCTCCTTTGGGCTTTAGCTGGCACCTGTAAAACAATCATAAGGAGACATTTCAAGACACGGTTACTCAGGTTTAAAAACAAATTTACTTGATATGTTCAGACTGGTTTATTTGTATTGCACACTTTTTATGAGCGTCTCACACACAGAATTATATTTAATAACTGTCGATGGGGAGAAGAAACAATCCTAGAGAAAACAAATGCACATAATGTTGTCTAAGATGGTTGTAAGTCCTTCAGCAGACTTCATACATACACTATATCTAAAATAATAACGTGTTAAAAAATGTAACAAATGTAACAAAATGTAACCAATGTGCCCTAGCACTGTATTTTAAATGTTAACACGCATAATGCGTCCACCTAATATGTTGTTAATAAAGGGGAACTCTGGTTAGACTTAAAAATAACTTTTGTTTGACCCCTTCCCCTCTGGATAGTAGGGGTTAAATGTCCATTTAGTCTGGAGGGGTGGGGTGAGGGTGTAAAACTGATTTCAGGATGGACAATTGGTCTCCCAAAGCCGCTCATCTTTGTCTGTTGCATGGCTGGCTCTTTGCCAACATCAATAGGCAAGTACTTTACATTAAAAAGATGGGGAAGCTGTCTACCTTTCGCTGAGGAATTCCACTTGATCATATTTTTTTGCCAGTATTATTTTGTTGTCTGCTTCAATATGCTTATTCCAGATACCAAACTAGTGAACCTTAAGGCCCGTACACACGATAAGAAAATTGTACAAAAATTTTCATACAAGGACTAATCGTCCGATAATCAGATTGTTAGTACACAGCTTTCGGGAGCCGATCCTGACAATTCATGGTACAATATCCAAGGGGACAAGCGCAAAACGTTTTCTCAAATGATACCAGATTGTACAATTTTCATTTAATCAGTACAGTAGTCGTCCAAAAATACAAACACATGACATCACTTTCTATTCAGTTGTACGAGAATTTTTGTAAGTTGAGTAACCTTTTCATTTTTGATATGGAAACTAGCATGCAAAAAAAAAAAAAAAAGGACAATCATTCGTCTGATAGTCTCATCATGTGTACTAGGCATTAGTTGTGGATATTCAAGGCCTTTGCTATACACCTTACAGTACATATACTTGCAGATGTTCAATGCATTCATTAGCAATATCTTCTACCTCCTCTAATAGAATTATGGACATACATCAGAATTAGTGATAGTACCCCAGTCTTCTGCTGGCTCACTTTGGGAAAACCCACCTGCTGAGTAAAAACTACTTGAGTACCTTGCAAAAATGCCACCTTTTTGATGGTTGGGTATCTCTTTGTTCTATACCTGGTTGTTCTTCCTTGTGCAACAAACTGTTCTAGATATAGAGTTTTGATATAGCTGGTGTCCAAATTTCTTATATAGTGGCTGTCAGCAAGCAAGCTGGATGAGCACCTTACTATAGTGGACAGCGCTGGCCAACCTGGAGCAGTATATTGCTTTTATGTTGTCTGGTTCTTCCATCTATTGGCAGTCTGGCTGTTATTTAGTTAATCTAATAAGAGTCTGAAGAAGCAGACTGGTTGTCTGAAACGTGTTGGAAATTGTCCCTATGTCACCATTGTAATCAACTTTTACAAAATAAGAATGGCAGCACAGTTGCTAAATGGTTAGCACTACCGCCTGGCAGTACTAGGGTCATTGGTTTGAATCCCAACCATGGAACCACCTGCCTGGAGTTTGCATGTTCTCCCTGTGCCTGCGTGGGTTTCCTCCCACATTCCAAAGACATGCTGGTAGGTTAGTTGGATCCTGTCTAAATTGCCCCTAGTATGTGTATGTATGAATGTAAGTTAGGGACTTTCGATTGTATGCCCCTTGAGGGTTAGGGACTGATGTGAATGTACAATATATATATGTAAAGCGCTGCGTAAATTGATGGCGCAATTTAGGTACCTGTAATAAATAAATAATAAATGGTGTCAATGATTGTTAATAGGATGATATACTGTATGTATTAATTCTATAAAGGGTTGTCTGAGGGTATAACTATAGAGGCAATGTACTGAATAGCTTTAAACCTGTTGGATACCTATATACAGTTGTGCTCAAAGATTTGCATACCCTGCCAGAAACCTTGAAATTTTGGCATTAAAGCGGTAGTAAACCACATTAAAAAAAAAGAAAAAAAAAAACCCTGTAAGGTAAAGGCTTAATGTGCTAGTATGCATTGCACACTAGCACATTATGAAAGACTTACCTTGAAATGAAGCCCTCCAGCGGAGTGCTGTCACGGCTCTCCGGGGCTTCCATCTTCACCTGGTCTTCCTTCCGGGTTTGCGAGCTCTGACTGGCTGAGCCGCGATGATGTCACTCCTGCGCAGGCAAACAGAAGCTCCGGGCCATGGCACAGTGCTCTGAAGGAACAGCACGGGCAGGGGCAGACTGACCATTTGGAAACTCGGGCACTGCCTGAGGGCCCGGGGTCAGTAGGGGGCCCCATGAGATGCCCCTGGTACCTTTTTCATAGGCTTTTTTGAGTTTGGGCAAGGACACAGGGGCCCATGATCCCCTATTGCCTGGGGGCCCCATGAGTTGTCAGTCCGCCCCTGAGCACGGGTATGCCATTCCTTTAGAGTGCATGCACCGAATATCAAAAATGACTAATATCTCCTAAATGGTTCACAGTTAGGAGATATCTTACCTACAGGTAAGCTTTATTATAAGCTTACCTGTAGGTAAAATTATTAAAAGAAGACTTTACTACCGCTTTAATATTGAAAATTTGACTGATCGTGACAACAAAACTGTCTTTTTTTTTTAACTCCTTGGCACTGGCGGTATGCAAATATAAAGCCTCTTGGTGGCTGGGCCTGAGAGGCCACCTATTTGCCTACCCAATGTAAACAAACATGTGCCAAGAGCCCTGCGTGCTCCCGACACAGTTACCAGCACCTCCTTTAACTGCCTCCCGCCCGCCATGCAGTACAATGGCAGGCGCAAGGTGGTTCTCTCATTCTGGGAGGACAACATATGACGTCCTCCCATTCTAACCGCGCATGCGCAGCTCCGGGAGTGCGCAGCGTGGCGATCGGCGGTGCACTGTGTCCCTCGGACACAGCGGATTACCAATCAACGGAAAGAGCCGAAGATGTCAGCTCGGTCATGTGATCAGCTGTGTCCAATCACAGCTGATCGTATGTAAATAGGGAAATGCCGGTTATCGGCATTTCTCTCCTCTCGAGCTGTCACGCTGACAGCTTGTGAGGAGAGGAGAGCCGGTAATCGGCATCCCTCAAAAGGGACATGTACACTGGTCATCAGGGCACTGATGATCAGTGTGCCCTGATGATCTGTGTAGCCCCAGCAGTGCCACCTGTCAGTGTCCATCAGTGCCAGCTGTCAGTGCCCATCAGTGCCATATCAATGCCACATTTCAGTGCCTACCAGTGCACATCAATGCCACATATCAGTGCCCATCTGAGTTGCCTTTCAGTGTCACCCATCAATGCAAGTCAGTGCCACCTATCAGTGCCTGTCAGTGCTGCCTATCAGTGCCGCCTAACAGTGCCAGTCAGTGCCGCCTAACAGTGCCACCTATCAATACCGCCTATCAGTTCCATATGAGTACTGCCTTTCAGTGCCCATCAGTGATGCCTGTCAATGCCCATCAGTACCACCGACCAGTGCCTCCTCATCAGTGCCCATCAGTGCCACCTATCAGTGTCCATCAGTGCAGCCTATCAGTGCCCATCACTGCACTGCAGCCTCTTTAGCGCACATCAGTGAAGGAGAAAAATCACTTATTTACAAAATTTTATAACAAAACCTAAGAAAAAACTTTTTTTTTTTCAAAATTTTCTGTGGTTTTTGGTTTGTTTAAGAAAAAATAAAAACCCAGAGGTGATTAAATACCACCAAAATAAAGCCCCATCTGTCACAAAAAAAATGATAAAAATGTTATATGAGTACAGTGTTGCATGACCACGCAATTGTCATTCAAAGTGTGACAGCGCTGAAAGCTGGAAATTGGCCTGGGCAGGAAGGGGGTATAAGTGCCCTGTAGGTTAGTGGTTCAGATCATGTGACTGCTGTGACAGCCAATGACATGATCCTAAACCCCACCCCGCCTCCTGGCATCAGAAACCCCTTAAAGGGGCGGGAGGCGCCTGCACCAAGGGGTAAAGGATAGTGATCATATGAAACCATTTATTTTCACATAGTTGTTTGGCTCCTTTTTAAATCATAATAACAGAAATCCCCCAAATGGCCCTGATCAAACGTTTACAGACCCTGGAATGTTTGGCCTTGGTATAGACACACAAGGTGACACACACAGGTTAAAATGGCAATTAAAATTAAATTTCCCATATCTGTGACTTTTTACAAACTGTAATTAGTGCGTGTGTATAAATAGTCAATGAGTTTGTTAACCCTCACATGGATGCACTGAGCAGGCTACATACTGAGCCATGGGAATCAGAAATTTATAAAGATGGAAAAGGATATAAACCGTTATCCAAAGCATTGAACATGCAAGTCAGTACTGTGCAATCACTTACTAAGAAGTGGAATGCTCGGGGATCTCTTGATACCAAGCCAAGGTTGGGAAGACCAAGAAAGATTGCAGCCACAGCTGCCAGAAAAATTGTTCTGAATATAAAAAAAAACCCACAGGTAACCTCAGGAGAAACATAGGCTGTTCTGGAAAAATACTTGAACAAAAATGAACTGCATGGTCGAGTTGCCAGAAAGAATCCTTTACTGCACCAATTCCACAAAAAAGCAGTCTGTATTTCTCCCAAGGTTACCTGTGGGTTTTTCTTTGTATCTCAAACAATTCTGGCAGTTGTGGCTGCAATCTTTCTTGGTCTACCCGACCTTGTCTTGGTATCAAGAGACCTCCGAACTTTCCACAGTGAGTGATTGAACAGTACTGACTGGCATATTAGAGGCTTTGTATATCTTTTCCATCTTTCTAAAGCTCCATTACCTTGTTACACAGGTCTTTTCACAGTTCTTTTCTGCTCCCCATGTCTCAATATCTATCCTGCTCAGTGCATCCATGTGAAAGCTAACAAATGCACTGACTAGTTATACACAGACACTAATTGCAATTTAAAAATCCACAGATACGGGAAATTAACCTTTAACCACTTACCTACCTGGCACTTTTACCCCTTTCCTGCCCAGGCCAATTTTTATATTTTTTTTCACACAAATAGAGCTTTCTTTTGGTGGTATTTAATCACCACTGAGGCAGCACCGATATGTGGCAGTGATGGGCACTGATAGGCGGCACTGATGGCCAATGATAGGCAGCACTGATGGGCACTGATAGGTGGCACTGACTGGCGGCACTGACTGGCAGCACTGATGGGCACTGATTGCCAGCACTGATAGGCACAGACTGGCATCACTGATGGGCACAGATTGGCAGCACTGCCGGGACTGATTGGCATTGATAGGAGGCACTGTTGGAGCTGCACTGATAATCTGTGCCCTAATTGTCAGTGTAGATGTCCCCTTTTACAGTAGCTGGTTATCGGCAGTACTGTCACAGCGTGAAGAAAGTACTGCCAATAACCAGAAAGTGTGTTTACATCGTGATTAGCTGTAATTGGACACACCTGATCACGTGGTAAAGGGCCGAAGGACAGAGCAATCACAGAGAGCGCCGGGTGCGCGCCGCAATAGATGCCCTCCCACAACTGGATGACCATGCTGTAGCCGTTATTCGGCTATAGCAGAGTCAGCAAGTGGTTAATTGCTGTCAAGTTTCACATGACTGTCATATTGACTGTCATATGCCCTTAAGAGTTTCTATACTTTGTTTCTGTTTCTCCCTTTACTGTGGTTTAGTTAGTGCTGTATAGATAGCCGTCCCCCTTTCCCAGAAATGCATTGCAGTTGTAGCCTCATGTCATGGAGCAGGAAACATTATGATCTTTTGACCTATCGAACGTTCATTGTTGTAAGATTCTCTCAGTTTATGGAATAAACTTCACAAGATCTACAAGATGTCATTCTCATTGAGTCACTGACTGTGGTATCCAGCTGAGGTGGAAGTTATTGCTATCTCATCACAACTGCAAGTTACAGAGATCACACTATCAATGCTTAGATTGGAGAGACAGAACAATTGCCATTTAAACCCATGTGTGTCACCTGTAAACTTTCGATCAGGACAATTTGGATGATTTCTGTTACAATTATGATTTAAACAACTCTGTGATAATAAATGGCTTCATATGATTACTATACTTAAATAAAGGATACTTTTTTGGCATGATCAGTCATATTTTCAATATAAATGCCAAAATTTCAAAATTTTTGCAAGGTTATGCAAACTTTTGAGCACAACTGTAGGTTTCGTTTTTTAATTAAAATCTATTTTATAAGCTTTTAACAGTCATTTTGCAACAAATACATATTTTATGATATAGTTATACATGAGAATATAATAATACAGCATTCTCTTTTTGATGTAAAGTCTTTGTTAGAGTTAATTTGAACATGCTGCTGTAAAAATGTAATCCTATATAATTTCCTGTATAATCCTTGTCAATGTCTTCATGTATAATGCAGGAGTGAGGAATAGGGTAAGTATGACTCTACTTTACAACCCCCCCCCCCCCCCATTAAACAAGCATTATTATTATTATACAGGATTTATATAGCGCCAACAGTTTGCTCAGTGCTTTACAATATAAAACATTTAGCCCTTACTATATACGGGGAGCACACAAAACGTATTTTGAAAAGCTGACCGGACTTCATCTTTAAGATGATCTCGTATTGCAGACAAGACAACAAAAGGAAAATGTTCTATACTATATGCTAAATTGCTGCAGACAACACATCTTTCTTCTGAAAATGAATGAGCTACCTTAACCACTTGCCTACCGGTCACTTTTACCCCCTTCCTGCCCAGGCCAATTTTCAGCTTTCAGCACTCCCACACTTTGAATGACAATTGCGCGGTCATGCAACACTGTACCCATATGACATTTTTATATTTATTTTCACACAAATAGAGCTTTCCTTTGGTAGTATTAAATCACCACTGGGTGTTTTATTTTTTGCGCTATAAACAAAAAATGAGCAAAAAATATGAAAAAAAAGTTTTTCTTTGTTTCTATTATAAATTTTTGTAAACAGGTAATTTTTCTCCTTCACTGACGTGCGTTGATGAGGCTGCAGTGAGAGGCAGCACTGATGGATGACGGGCATTGATATGCAGCATTGATGGGCACTGAGGAGGTGGCACAGATAGGCAGCACTGATGGGCACTGATAGGCTGAACTGATGAGGTGGCACTGATGAGGCAGCACTGGTGGGCATTGAGGAAAAGGCACTGATGATGCTGCACTGATATGCAGCAATGATGGACACTGGCAGGCGGCACTGATGGGCACTGGCAGGCGGCACTGATGGGCAGCTCTGACTGGTGGCACTGCTGGGCAGCACTGATGGGTGGCAATGCTGGGCACGTCTGGGTGGCACTGCTGGGAATTGATGGGCACTAGTGGGTGGCACTGATGGGCAGCGCTGCTGGGTACTGATCATCAGTGCCCTGATGATCAGTGCAGATGTCCTCTGTCACATCTGCTGTGACAGCGTGAGGAAAGTACTGCCGATAACCGGCAACTGTATTTATTTTGTAATCTGCTGTGTCATTGGACACAGCTGATCGTGTGGTAAAAGGCCGCTGTGATTGGCCGTTTACCTCATCCTGTGATCAGCTGTGTCCTTAAGACACAGCGACTATGGGCAGCGGCAGGTGCGTGGGGAGGGTGCATTCTGGGAGGACGTCATATGACGCCCTCCCAGAACTGGATAATCACGCTGTAGCCATCATTCAGCTGTAGTGCAGTTGTGAAGTGGTTAAAGGATGACTCCATTTTTATGGGGAAAATATATAGCAAAAAAAAATTATAGCATATACTGTATATACACGAGCCATAGTGAAATATAATGCAGTTAAAAAAAAACTTTCCTTTTTAATCTACAGTGCTATAATTTTATGGAAAATGCAAAGCAATATGGCAACCTGGAGGCATTCTGTAAACAGATGGTATACAGAGCACCCCCCAGAAATGTCATTTTCTGCTTGTGTGATTGGCTCATTGATTTTACCAGAAGTCTGCACTAATTTACAAATCAGAGTTTGGACAACCCCACATCCTCTACAAAAAACATTTCACTTTTGGATACTCCCAAAGGGATCCAGACCCTGCCACTTTCCTCATTGGAATCCTGCACACCGATTCACATTCACTTTGCAGATGGACAAAGACAAACAGCTAATTCTTCACAATAACAAAAGATAAGACTCTGCAACAAGGTTTGGTAAAATCCTTGAACATATATCACCCAGAGAGGAAGTGGAGTTACTCTTTCATGAAATGCACATTAAAGTGTTACTAAACCCACAACAGTAAAATCAGTCTGTATATACAGTAAAGCATGCTTCTTATACCCACTGTGGAACCTAAGAGGTTAATCCTCTGCACTGTGTAAAAAGGATGTTTGATCCTCTCTTTTCTAATGCTCCCCTTCTTCCAGTGCCTATCCAAGTGCTCTAATCTCCTGATAAGACATATCATGTGGAGTCACTCTGCACATGCTCAGTTTGGTGTGTTTTGCTAGAGAAGGTTTTTTTCTTTCTTGGGAGAGTGCATGTGATCAGCAAAGGGCCAATCAGCACTGTCCAGACAGAGGGTCAGTGGTCCTGCATCCTCCTAGAACAAAATAAAAACTCTCCTACACAAGCTTTAACCAGTGCTCTGCTGAACACTGATAGAAGTCACAAGACTGCTCTAACTGCTGATGAGAAAAGGTATTTAGACATTTATATTTACTAAAATAATTGCATTTCCATGTTGTTTGTACTGTGGGAGACCAGATATAGTGAATGCAGGGTCCTGGCTTTAGTAACACTTTAAGTTACAAAATACTGCACATTAATGTGCATGTGTTAACACAACACAGCTCATTGGAATAGTCTGAATGGGCCCTGATACGGAGATGCAAATATATATGAAAGAATACACAAGAATGAAGAAATAGGCAAGCATATACAGTATGCAGAAGTCAAAAACATGTATACAGTATATACACACAGCCAAGGACAGGCTTGTTCACATATCCAGAGATATGAGCACAATAGCCCCAAAACGTATGACCAAAATAAAGATTAAACTTTAATTCGCCACCCTACAATGTGTACAGCACTTGGGGGCCACGGAAGCCCCCTTCCCCCAGGCAACAGTAAGAGGTGAACATAACAACAAGAAGGTTTAATTACCGAATCATGACCAATCACGCCTATGTACGAAGGTGCTCCCCATTAAGGTATATGCTCCACAGTAGCCTGCTCCTGTTACTTTATAGGGTAAGAGGGGGAGCTACTCTTGGCCCAGTGCAAAGAGAACAGCAATACCAGAGTGGGAGCACTGTCCCCTCTGGAGGAATTGGATGCCATGAGGCCTATAGCCTGGAGAGGATATGACCAGGACAAAAACAGAACAAAACCTTCCAATCCTTTACAACTAAGGAAGTTCCCATCTTAACCTTGGCTCGATCTGCAGTTGCCATGATGCTGTATATGTGGTTCATTATGTGGCGCAGCTAGGGGGGTGCCTACATCAGGGCAGTCATCTTTCACAGGGGGTTAGTGATTGGTCAGACTGGGCATTTAAACCTTGTTGTTTTTATGTTCACCTATCACTGATGCCTAAGGAAGGGGTCCTCAGTGGCCCAGAAACATTACTCACATTATGGTGGTGGCAAATTAACCACTTGCCGACCCATAACAGTACATATACTGCAGCGGGGAGGCTCCTACAGACACAGCAGCTTACCTGTACATTGCTGCCTGTCTCCAGGTTTCGGGCACGCTGTTGTGTTACACTATTTGATTTATTATTATTTCTCTGTGACCATCACTTGTTTATTATTGCTCTGTGACTTTAAGCTGTCTCCTTCTTTCTAAACTGAGCTCTTTTTCTTACCGTACTTGTGTATACTCCTCCACCCTGCCTCTTCCTGTAAACATTCCACTGTATCCTGTCTTCCTGAATGCATCTTCCATAAGGATACAACATTAATGCATTTCTACCTATGATATTCTCCATTAAACGGAACATTCGAATGGGTTTCCTCATCTGACTTCCTCAACATGTGAGTTTATTCATTGAATTAAACTATCTGACCCAATGCAAGGGATAAATTCAATACCACGTGGTATAGCTGTATACATCGCTGGAGTTAAAAGTTTATCATCCTGTAGTTAAGTCAGAATACACGCGGCGTGCACCCCACACCTGCCTACTCCTCTGTGATTTGACACAGCAGGAGTTTTGTCAGCAGATGTGTGGACAATGATTAATGGCCAGGACCTGCTGTCGAATCACAGCCCATAGCCCTACGTAGAGAAACAAATCAATCTGTAGTAAAAAGCAGCACATATTACACACATTAAACATTGTTAGGCACAGAATTAACCCCTAGATGTTAGATGCCAGTGTCATTAGTACAGTGACAGTGTATGTTATTAGCACTGATTACTGTATTACTGTCACTGGAGATGTCAGTGGTAGTTATTTCCCACAAAGTGTCGGTTAGTGTCAGAATACATTTTGGGCTAAATTTATAAAGAAATCAGATTTTCTAATTCTTTTAATACAGTATTTTTATAGCAGAAAGTAAAAACATGTTTTTTTTTTCAAAATTGGGGGTATATATTTTATTTATATAATAAAAAATTCAAAAAGCAGTGGTGATCAAACAGCAGCAAAAAAACTCTATTTGTGTGAAAAAAATTATATACATTTTGTTTGGGTACAGCGTTGCATGACCATGCATATTGCCAGTCAAAGTAGCGCAGTGCCAAATAGCAAATAATGGCCTGGTCATGAAGGGGTAAAACCTTCCAGAGCTTAAGTGGTTAACGTTGAATTTTCCTTTTGATACAATTGATCATCTTTCAATTATTAGACTATGTTTATGATGGTGCCATCCATCAATTCACCTCAGCACCCACCTTCATTGGTGGTTTATGGCTGAAAGGAGTGCGCTGTTTCGTACTGATTTATGTGTAGTAAGTACACACGTGTGTATAAAACATAAACATATTTATAGTTGAGAATACATCAAAAATGCATTCACATACGAATAAAGAGTGAAGAGGCAGGAGCTACTGTAATATTCAGGCACTATTCTAATGCATCAGTGTAGTACCAACTGGTATCCCATCAATGTACTGGTACCTGTGGTAGTGAAAGCCCAGCTCTAGGAAACTTCAAAATTCTCTGTTGCAGTGGGGCTGCACTCATACTGCAAAGGTAAACTGCTTGTTCAGATTTATGGGGCTTAGAATAGATTTACTTACCTAATCCTCCACTCCTCTGTGCTACTAGACTAGTCCCCACAGCATCTTCTCCCCTATGCTCCAGAGGTCAAAGGTCCTGATGTCATCAAGACTGGTGCAGGGTCCATAGCCCTGCGATGAGGGACAGCCCATTGCCAGAGCACGGGGAAGTATCGTCTGCTAGGGAGCAGAGGATTGTGTAAGTAAAAGTGTTATTTTTCAAATTTCCTGGAGTTGGGCTTGAAGGTATTCCCATAAGAGACACCATTAGCCATCATATTTGGTGACTACAAGCTATGACAAGGCAATCATTTTTACCGGCCCACTTTATTAGATACACTTTGCTAGTGCCAAGAAAATATCCCCCACACCATTACACCACCACCAGCCTGAACCATTGATACAACGCAGGATGGATCCATGCTTTCATGTTGTTTACACCCAAGTTTTGACCCTACCATCTGAATGTCGCAACAACTAGTCTGCCCATTCTCCTCTGACATCTGACATCAAACAAGGCATTTTCATCCACACAACTCCCACTCACTGGATATTTTCTCTTTCTTGGACCATTCTCTGTAAACCCTAGAGATGGTTGTGCGTGAAATTCCCAGTAGATCAGCAGTTTTTGAAATACGCAGAACAGCCCGTCTGGCACAAACAGCCATGCCATGTTTAAAGTCACTTAAATCCCCTTTCTGATGCTCGGTTTGAAATTCAGCAAGTCATCTTCACCACGTCTAGATGCCTAAATGCATTGAGTTGCTGCCATGTGATTGGCTGACTAGCCATTTGTGTTACCAAGCTATTGAACAGGTGTACCTAATAAAGTGGCATGTGAGTGTATATTACTATGTTTGACTGACGTGATCATTATATGACCAGGAACCACGCCCGTTTCCCAAAGGTTAGCAGAGAGCAGTGCCTTTCAGTAACAGCATTACTTGCACTCTTGCTTTGAAATAAAAATGTTGACTAATGTTCCAAGCCAGAGGGTATTAATCTATAAATTGAGGCTGTACTAAAAAAAACTCAAGCTAGTTGCCAAAGTGGACAGAGTTTTCCATGTTGAGTGTAAATTGTCCATGCCAAGGTTGGAATCTAATTCTACCTGAGAATGACATGAGATGATAATGACAAAAGATGCATTTACTGAAATATCTTTCTTATGAAACATCTTTTCTAAACATGAACATTTTTTCGACTGAACATGTACGGTAATACAGTGAGAATATCCAGGGAAATCCATTTTGGGCACACAGTTT